GAGCTCATCCCAGGCTACTGAACAGTTTATGATGCCTTGTCTCAAGAGTAAAAAAAAATAAAAAGAAAAGAAGACTGGGGATTGTGTAGCTCAGTATGAAGACTCTGGGTTAAATTCCCAGTACTACAGTCAACTAGTCAATCAGTCACTTAATTTAAAAATGTTGTAGTCCTTTAGCTCTTTTAGTCAATGAGAACTGGCAGGTAATTAATGGGGAGTGCCCTGGGTTCAAGCACCAATACCACGATAAATAGAAGGAATTATAGTGAACAGTGATCACTACTGATCCACAGTTACAGAAAGATGCTACAGAGATTAACGCTACAACCTACCAGAAGCCTAGCTAGTTATTTCCTGACTCAAGGAGCCATTGATTCATAATCCTTTCTTTGCTTGTGAAGTTACACTTGATGTCCACTTAAGAGGGCTTCACAGGGATGCCCTGCTCAGAGTTTGCAGATAGTCTAAAGAAGTCATTCAGTGAAGTTTTTGCATAGATAAGATTGGCCCACCCTGTAGCCTTTGTTTTTGTGTTTTTGTTTTTTTTTGTTTTTTTGTTTTTTTTTTTCCAGAACCGGGGATTGAACTCAGGCCCTTGCGCTTGCCAGGGAAGCGATTATTCAACTGGGCCATCTCCCCGACCCCTGTAGCCTTTGATTCACTCAGAATTTTTTTCTGAGTGAATCAAAAGTTACAGCTCTAATAGGGAGAGAAATTTGTAGCATTCTGAGGTCTTTTTTAAAATCTGCCTTCCATTGATATGGTTGCTTTTTTTTTTTTTTTTTTTTGGCAGAACTGGGGATTGAACTCAGGCCCTTATGCTTGCTAGGCAAGCACTTATTGTACTGAGCTATTTCCCCGGCCCCCTTCCATTGATATGGACAAGCGACAAGTGTGCACTTTTAAAAGATGTTTTGATACTATTTAAAAATCTCTTCTTAAAATGGATTTTGTTTTGGCCAACCTCTGCCATCAATATTAACAAAACATATATGGTATTTTAGAACAATTACTTTTGAAAGTACTTCTCATAACAAAGGAGTACTGTCTTAATCTTATTGTACTGAAATGTCAACTTACTTGGCAGAATGGCTAAAATTTCAATTAAATGAAAATGCTTTTTTTTTTTTTCAAGTTAACATATATCTGTTATAGTTTGTGTCTAGTTGTCCCCGCAAAGCCTCATGTAAGTCATGGGGTGGACTTCTAGAGTTTATGATTAACTCATGATCCACTGGGATTGTTGGTGTGAGTGCTGCTGGGATTATGGCTGTGAGTACACACCCAGCCTGGGGTGGATAGCCTGCATGCAACTTCAAGGAGAATGCTCTCTGTAGCCTTTGTTGCCACTACTCCTCCCATTTGCTCTCTGCTCTTTGCCACTGCCATGAAAGGTTTCTCTCTGCCATGTGCCACTCTGCCCTTGGAGCCAGCTGAGTATGAACTGAAACCCCCAATAATTGTGAGCTGATTAAATCTTTCCTTCCTTCATTTTGAGTGTTGGTATTTGTCCCAGCAATGAGAGAAGAGTAACTGAGACAGCATCAATATATAGGTAAAACCTTGCTGTTAAAATCTCTTTTCAAAAAAAAAAAAAAAAACTCTTTTCACAACAACTCCAAACATATTCAGCTACCTTAATCTTTGACAAAAGTGCCAAGTACATTCACTGAAAGAAAGATAGCCTCTTTAATAAATGATTTTGGGGTTTGCCAGATAGCTCAGCAGACTAAAGCTCCTGCTTAGGCAGAGTGCAGTGGACAGGGTTTCATTGCTGGCCCTGCCCCCATGGTGCACTGAGATGGTGACTGGGACTGGGCATGATGGCACACACCTATAATGCCGGCATTTGGGAGGCTGAAAATAGAATCACTATGAGTCTGATCTGTGTAGTGAGACCCTGTAAACCCTGTATTAAATACAAACAAAGATTCTGGAAAAACTGGCTCTGCACATGCCGAAGATTAAAATTAGACCCTTATCTTTCACCAGGCACCAAACTAAGTTCAAACTGTGTCAGAGATCTTAGTAGTAAAACAAACACAAAATTTACTGGAAGAGAACCTAAGTAGAGATCTTGAAGACATAGGAGTAGACAGAGAATTTATGAATGAAAACCAAATTGCATGAGAAATATTTCAAAGAACTAACAACTGGGATTTCATTTTATAAAAAAGCTTTTGCACAGCAAGAGAAACTACTAACAGAGTGCAGACAAGGCACAATGTGGGAAAAAATGTTTGCCATCTGTTCCTCAGACAAAGGATTACTATTGAGAACATACAAAGAGCTAAAAAAGATCAGATCTCCCAAATTTAAAGACCCAATCAAAAAATGGACATCTGAGGTAATTACACATGTCTCAGATGAAGAGGTAGAAACAGCAAATATATGAAAAAATATTGAACATCACTGGCCACTTGAGAGGTACAAATTAAAACAAAACTGAGATTCCATCTCACCCCAGAAAGAAGGGCTATCAAGAAATCAAGAACAAGTGCTGGACAAGCTGTGGGGAAAAGGAAACCTTCTCCACTGTTGTAGACAGTACAACCCCTGTAGAAATTAGTGTGGAGATTTCTCCAAAACGTCAGATTAACAGTCTCATTAACTCAGCTATTTCCCTGATGGGTTTCTTCCCAGAAGAATTAAAACCATTATACCACAGTGATATATTTGCAGTCATGTTTATAGCAGCGCAGTCTATAGGAGCTAAATCTTGGGAACAATCCAAATGCCCATCAATTGAATTATGTTTTTATACAATGGATTACTAATCATTTATTTTAATTTTTATTTTATTGAGAAACAAATATCAATGAGACAGTTTCAAAATTGATTAATAGGACAGTTTCAATAATTAATACATTGTACATTGTCATCTTCTTAGTGGTTATCCATAGTACAAGATGCGGACAGAATATCCTGTCCAAACACTACTAGTACAAATCTTTCTTCTCATTGAATTAAGAGAAAGTAGCTGTATATGTATCCTAACTATTTTGAATATACAGATACAAAATGGTCCTTCCTTTGTATCCCCTTTTTTTGTTTAGTCCTGTCAGAGATGGGTATTCGATTGACATCTAAATGCTATAGGTGTGTGAATTCAGCAAAACAATCCAAAACAGTACAGCAGTCCACAATAGTAGTAGGTTATCCACAGAAGTTGTTGACTTGAGCCTTTCATAGCTCAGCATATTAATATGGCTTTACTTTATATACCTCATTTTTATACTTTTCTGCTGGATGGTTAAGACCAAGATAAAGCAAGACCTGTATAACAAGAGATGTAACTTTTGTATCTGATAAGATCAGTCAAATCCCCTCAGGATTTATCCTGTAATGCTGTATTGCAGTTTGCAGATCCTTTATCAGTGTCAGCCATATGGATGAGTCACGGCCATTGCATGACCAGTTTGCTCTCTGTGAAAGCCTGAGAGAATGTTTTCTCTCCATGTGACTCTCCTTAGGCACAGTCTACATTGTTGAGCACTTTCCTCTGTGGCCCCGTAATCTCCTTGATCAGAAAATTTGGGACAAAACTGAGTTACATGATGTTACAGTATAGGTTCTTCTTTATCCTGAGTCTTCACTGACCTTGAAAGGCTATGGTCAAAATGTTGGCTGTCCTTGCAGCCCTTCTATTTCTCTAATTTTTGGTCTGCAATCTTAGGTTGTTAACCCTCCAGAAGAGAAGCTTATTATTACCCTACATCTTACTTCTCAGTCATAAAGAAGGATAAACTGGAGACTTTTATAGGCAATGGATGCAACTTGAGACCATACATAAGTAAAATAAGTCTGACTCACATACAAGATAGTTAAGATAGTTATACTACTAATTCATCTTGGTTTATTGAAAAGAAGGATATGTACTAATATGGTTTGGACAAGTAAATGCTGATATCTTGTACTCTGAGTAAGTAATTTAAAGGACAGTATGCAATGTGTTAACCATCATTACTTTCCTATTATCTTGTTTTGAAATTTTGTTTTATTTTCAAGATAAAACTTCAAAAAATCTTTTTTTCATGTTTGCTTTGCACATTAGGCTGAAATTCCTCTAGCTTGTAGAAGAAAGAGGAAATTGTTCCCTTTTTAGTGTATATGCTATAGAAGCCAGTCTTCAGTTTCTAATGAGCTCCTGAGAAACATTGGTCATAAGGGCCCCTTGCATGCATATTTTCTATATTTGTTTCATTTCCTATTTAGTACCTATTATGTTTTTTCTTCCTCAGCATTAGCAGTAGTTACTGTAAGAATCTTTTACATTTTGCCTTTTACTTAGACAGCTTAGAAATATTAACACACCAAGCTTTCTTGATTTGCAATTAAGAAAAATAATTATGTGGAGAAGTATATGTAGAGAGTTTATTCTACTTCTCATCACTTGTATCCTTGGAATTAGTGGTCCTGGGATGGGGTCAGTGCTCAGAAGGAAGTCACAGCCAAGGTTGGAAAGAACTTGGGTGCCTCACAGAAGGCAGCTTGCCATCAAATTTTGTGTTATTAAGTAACAGACCCTGTCTTCACTAGAAATAACCTAGAGTTGTTATTCTGTCATCTATTCAAGGTGGGTGGCTAATGACCCTGGTTTATGCTTAGTTTTTTTTTTTTTTTTTTTTTTAATGAAACTAAGGGTCACATTTGAGATGACATCTAGATTTAAGATTTATTTACTGAAGAAAATACTTATAGCTTTTTGGATTGTTGATAGGATTTGTGAGTTACCTATACATTTTGTTACTACTTAAAGTATACAGCATGATTTCATTTGAAATCCCCAAAGAGCAAACATTTGTCTTTATTCAGACATAAGTTTTCCAGATGAGGCTATGATTCAGGGAATTACTGATTATTAGTATTGTTGAGAAGGTAAAGGATTATTTACCAATGTCATGCCCATTTGAAATATGTTTTGCCTAATGAGACATAGCTGAATTGTTTCTAAAAATTTCTTTCCTTCCTTTTCATTTTTTACTGATTTATTTTTGTAGGCATGAAGAACAGCCAAGGCCTTTTGTGTTGCATGCGTGCTTGAGGAGCTCAGAGGAAGAACTAAGATTCCTACAAATGTGTTCTCAAGTTCTGGTGTTTTGTCTCCTCCCTTCAAAGAATGTCCAGTCCCTCAGCTTACGTATTATGCTTGCAGAAATTCTTACAACAAAAGGTAAACTTATAAAATTAATATTACTAATACAGTAAGTATGTGAATTAATGTGTCATTAGCTTTTATATAGCATCTCTGTAGACCTTGTGTGCTGTGGGACATAAGGGAAATAAAGTATCTTAGAAATTAAAATACATTATGATAAATTCAAGTTGTTTTATATATTTCCCAGTGTATAATGTAAATCTTATGATTTCCACCAGGAAGCATTCATGTGAGAGACCTTTTGAGTTATCTAAACTGGTAATATATGCATTTATGATAGAGGATACTTGCATGTTCCATAAAATTAAGGTATCTATTGTAAAATTCAGTGATAATACTATACATAATTCTGTGTCTTTAAATTAAAAATAGTATGTCACAATATTATGTGAATACTGGAAAAAGTTAACTAAATCCTGGAAAATGGTTAAATCAGGATAAGAAAAATGGAAGAAAATATGAACTAAGAGAAACATTTTCTAGCTCAGAATCTCAAACTAGTGAGAGAGCTATTGACTGAATATCCTAGTCATCTCAGGATTAGCCAGCAGTGCCCATTAACTCATATCACCAATGACAGAGAAATGAGAAACTTTTTAGTTCAAAGTTATTGAATGGATTTATAATAGTGTTACTGACCTTTTCACAACTGCCTCCCTGAAGTCTGCTTTGACCATTTAAGGGAATGTTGACTTCCAACTTTCGGCATATTACATTTTTTGATGTATTTCAAGAACATATTGAGTCTTATAAAAGAAGTAGAAGAAAAATTCAGTGTACTTGTCATAGCTTTGCTAGGAACTTGGGTTCCAGATTTTTTTTTTTTTTTTTTTTCTTTGAGTCTTTGCTGAGACAAGATCTCACTATTTAGTTCAGACTGGCCTTGAGCTCACTTTGTAGCTCAGGTTGGTCTCAAACTCACAATAATCCTCCTGCGTCAGGCTCACAAGTACTGGGATTACAGGCATGCACCACCAAATCCAGCTTCCAGACAATTTTTTTCATTACTCCTTTATGTTTCACTCAGTTATTAAAATGACTAATTAACCATAACCATGTATAGTAACATTTTCAGAGGCATAGGCAACCTTACATTGTGTACACTCATATATGCATATATTTGTACACATTAAAAACATTTGAATAACTTTTAACTTCCCCCATTTACTTAGTTGAAAAATGTTTCCTAGATGTAGTTTCAATTATGTGATAGAAATGTAATTCCCTTGAAGAATATCTTTTTTCAGTTTTGCTTTCTTCTCCTTCCCACAGTGTTGAAGATAGTGGTAGATTTCCTGAGTAATCCAGACTACATTAACCAAATGCTGCTTTCCCAGTTGGAGTATAGAGAACAGATGAATGAGCAACACAAGAGAGCCTATACCTATGCTCCTTCTTATGAAGAATTCATCAAGCTTATCAATGGCAGTTCTGATGTAGAGTTCTTGAAGCAACTGAGGTATACAACTATAACAGTAAAGGGTGTCTATAGAAGAGATTTTTTTTTCAGAGAAGCAGAGATAAATCCATAAATTTTAACATTTAAAGACAGCTAAATTTTAGTACCTACCTTCTCAACAGTGTAGCTAGAATAGTTTTTTTTCTGTAAGAACTGGGTTTTTTTTCCAATAATTACATTGTAATGGATTAAAAGCCCTTGAGTTGTTAGAAGTACCTGCTTAGTTGCTCAGCTGTCTGTCTTAGAAAAGTATTTGGAGAATATGCTTTTTAAATTATAGTGTAGAGCATTGTGTTAATTTTTCTTTTCTTTCTTTCTTTTTTTTTTTGGCGGAACCAGGGATTGAACTCAGGCCCTTGTGCTTGCCAGGCAAGCGCTTATTCTACTGAGCCATCTCCCTGGCCCCTGATTTTTATTTTTCTTAGAAAATGTAGAGGTTCAGGTCTTGCCGTAAGGGGTTCTACTTGATTAACTGTTTGGAGTAATTACACTTGAAAGTATCAGAGGAAACTTTCATAGGGAAGCGTATCTCCCTCAGATGTCTTTTTTTTTTTTTTTTAAATATTTATTTATTTTTATTTATTACATTTATTTATTGTGTCTGTGTGTGTGTGTGGCCAGCTCAGCCCACCAGGGGGCGGGGCTGGCTGCCATGTGGTGCTGGGGGATCGAACCGAGGTCCCTGTGCTTTGCCAAGCTTGTTTCAAGTAGGTGCTTTAGACCACTGAGCCATCTCTCCAGCCCTCCCTCAGATGTCTTAAGGGTATGTTTTTCTTTTGTAGTGTATGCCTATAGAATATTGTCTAGTTTGTGGATTTTCTAGGTTTGTTCCTTTGCTTACCCTTTAGTTTAATGTTCCCAAATGGTAATACATGAAGAAGAAAGAATATTCTGATGCTAGTTTTTATTTTCATTAGTAATTTTGGTAAGTCACTGATAGAAAAGTAAAATATTGCCTAAAATGGAGTCTTTGAAGTACCTGAGTACTTTACATTTGCTACATTTACCATTGACTTAGAATTACCATTAAAGCGATTTATGCTACTTAATTTTGTGATTTGAATAATAGACTACATAAAAGACATACATGGTAGGTGACACGGTGTTCTTATGGCAGCATTTGTTAATTTGGATTCCAGAAATGTATAAATTACAAATTCAGTCGTAGTTTACTTTTTATGTTATGCAACACATGAATAGTTTGTTGCTCCTACCGTGTATAATCTTAAGTGGCCTAAATATTAGTCATTTATTATGGATTTATGATTATTTATGTCTGAATCCAGAAATCCTGTTTTGAGAAGTATAGCATTTGAGCTGATAGTCCAAGAGCCAATATTCCGTGTTGTTTTGCATGAGCCCTGCATGTTATACCCACTAAAAGATCATCCTTATCATAGTTTCCTTTTATTTCTTTTAAAGGCACTTTACAGAAAATCAGACACAGACCATTTGGTAACTTCAAGTGAGTTTAAGAAAACAATTTACAACCAATAGTGGCAGATTAAGTGGATCAGTAGTCATTGTTCTTCCAGACTTGTGAATATTTCATTTTGCTTACCAAAGACTTCCAGCATTGCATATAATTAATAACATAGTTAATGATATTATTAAAAAGATGTCAGTCAGGCATGTGGTGCATGCCTATAAATCCAGCACTTGGGAGATTGAGGCAGTAGTATTACAAGGAGCTCAAGGCCAGCCTGGGCTATATAGTGAGCTCAAGACCAGCCTGAGCTGTCGGCTGGTAGTGAGAACCTGTCTCAAGGAACGAAAAAAAAAAAAAAAAAAAGGTTTGAAAGAGATTTTAAAAATCAGAACTAATTATTTTGAATGATCAACTACTAGTTCTTTAACATCATGTCATTTTGCATTTAAGCAGTTTCTGCACTATAACATGAATGAGTCTTATACTTCATCTTGAAAATGTGCTAGTCGTGGTCAGAACTAATTGAATTGTGAAGTTCATTATCTAGCTAAAAATGTAGCTCAGCATGAGTTTCCCTTTACATAATAAAATTATGGTATCTACTGTAGTAGAATGATTGAAAAATTTGCTTTGGTCCATGTAGGAGCATTATTGATCACCTTAACCTAAGTATCAAAAAATTACACTGGCAATTCTGATTTTACATTTTCCCTTTCCTCACTAATATGTGATGAAACAGAAAAGGGGTGAGTGCTTAACTCTTCCTCAAAGATAGCTTCCTCTTGACCTTCTAAGTAGGACAAGATTGAAGGATGACACCTTGGACATCCTAGGAAGTTGGGCCTTTGTTAGGCATTGAGAGATTTAGGGGACAGTAGCACTGTACAATCAATACCTCTAATTCCAGAATATTTTAATCATTCTTAAATCCCTGTGCCTATTAACAGTCACTTTCTTCTTCTCAACTTCTGTGTCCCCTGGGGACCACTTATTTTCTGCCTATGAATTTGCATGTTATAGTTATTTCATATAAGTGAAATCAACAATTATGTGGCCTTTTGTGTCTGGCTGCTTTTACCCAGCTTCACGTTTTCAATGTTCATCCATGTTGTAATGTGTATCAGTACTTCATTCCAGGTTTTGGCTTCATAATATGGGTGAATACATCACATTTTCTTTATCTGTTCATTAATTAACAGTTTGAGTTGTGTACATTTTTTTAAAATGCGTTTGGACTGACCATGCAGCATCTTTAGGATAATTTCAGTTTCTAGTGACTTTTTTTTGGTACTGGAAGTCAAACTCACAACCATACACTTGCCAGACAGGTGCTTGTGCCGCTGAACTGTCTCCCCAGCCCCTGCATGACTTCTTTTTTTTTTTTAATATTTATTTATTTTTATTTATTACATTTATTTATTGTGTGTGTGTGTGGCCAGCTCAGTCCACCAGCGGGCGGGTCTGGCTGGCATGTGGTGCTGGGGATCGAACCGCGGTCCCTGTGCTTTGCCAAGCTTGTTTCAAGTAGGTGCTTTAGACCACTGAGCCATCTCTCCAGCCCCCCTGCATGACTTCTGATAAATAAAAGTAAAATAAAGTGTTGTTAATTACTAACTTTTTCCTGTCACTGTCTGCCCCATGGTGCATCTGCTACCAACAGGAGTTATGTAATACAGACATCTGGAAGGGATGTTTTCCTTTTTTTAATATTAATTTTATTAAGAAAGAAGTAGCAATGAGACAGTTTCAAAGCAGGTTAGTAGAACAGTTACAATAATTAATACATTGCATATTATTGTCTTCATTGTGGTTATAGTACAGAATGTAGACATGATATCTTGTCTAAACATTATTCGTTCAAAACTTTCTTCTCATTGAACTAAGAGAAAGTAGCTGTATATCTATGCTATTTTGTATATACAGGTTTTTTTTTTTTCACTACAAAATGGTCCTTAATTTATAACCCCCTTTTTTGTTTACTTTTGTCAGAGATGAGTATTCCATTGCCATTCATGTATTGTAGGTGCATAAATTCAGCAAAGTAATCCAATGTAGTCCAGTAGTCCATAATAGTAGTGGGTTATCTGCATGACTGGCAATGTCAGAAGTTGTTGACTTGAGTCTTTTACAGCTCAGCATATTAATATGGCTTTACTTTTTATACCTCATTTTTATACTTTTCTGCTGGATGGTTAAGACCAAGTTAAAGGAAGACCTATATAACAAAAAATGTAACTTTTGTATCTGACAAGGTCAGTCAAATCCCCTCAGGAATTAACCTGAAACCCTGTATAGAAGTTTGTAGATCCTTTGTCAGTGTCAGCCATGTGGATGAGTCATGGCCATTGCTTGACCAATTTGCTCTCTGTGAAAGTCTGAGAGAATGTTTTCTCTCCAAGTGACTCTCCTTAGGCATATTCCACATCGTTGATCACTTTCCTCTGTGATTCCATAATCTCCTTGATCAGAAACTTTGGGACACCACTGAGTTACAGGAGGTTACAGTACAGGTTCTCTTATTTCCTGAGTCCTCACTGACCTTGAAGGGCTAGGGCCACAATGTTGACTGTCCTTGTAGCCCTTCTTTTTACTAATCTTGGTCTGCAAACTTAAGTTGTTAACTCTCCAGAAGAGAAGTGGAAGGGATATTTTCTACATTACTCCTGTTCCATGTATGATACGCCCTTTGTGCTGACCATTTTACTGCCAGGCTTTACATTTCCTGCAGTTTTATAGCCAGTGGGAAGATAATTTAGAGGTACTTTGATGATTAGATAATCAAGCTTTATAGTGTCTAATCTTTTAAAAGAAAAATACATTTCTGGGTTTAAGTTGGTGAAATAACTGAGTCCACTTGGAATGACAATTCTCTGACTCTGCATCTTTATTAGCTTTTAGCTCCTCGTGTAAGTCTCGGGGACCCTGTTGATTTCTTATAAAAGGGTTGAAAATTCTCTTGTAACAAGGAATTGAAAAGAGTCTTTTCCTTGAAAGAGTCACATACAAATGGCAGCATCAACTATGATGTCATGATAATCCTGAAGAATTTGTTATGTCAACAGGTTTGTCTTGAACCTTAGCATAAAATATTGCAGAAGGAGTTTTTCTCAGTTATAGAGACACTCATATAGAGTTACAGTCTGAATACTTTCGTGAATACTGCATATCCAGAGGTGTCTTCCTCAAGCCTCGTGAGGCAACTCCTTGACTTTGCTGTGTAGTGGATTTTCTGGCTGTTCTGTCTGATATAGTGCTGGGATATCCTTTATTCCTGGGGCATTTATCCTTATCTATTGTTTCATAGAAACAGACCTAACAGCTGACCTTGATTTTCTGCTTCTTAAACAGTCATACCTAGAAAGGATATCAGGATGACTGTTCTAGCAGAGATTTACCTTTTTACTCCAAATGTAGATGATATTGCATAAATGATGTTATTTATTGTTTGATATAAAATTTCTCCTGTTTAAATGTCAGATCTGCTGTTACTTACAGTTAAATTGCTTTTTATTAGATATTTGTCTAACGTCTACATTGCTGAGGCTTTTCAGCATCCTAACACTTAAGGGAG